TGCGGGGAGGCTACTGGGGGGCAGTTTAATAAATCTTTTGAAAGTAGTACAACGCAATAATAATTGAATGTAACAGGCGTGAATAGAAAACAACAATCTTATGAAAGCAACTGTGGATAAAGTATGTGGTGAATTTTGATTTTAAGCCACAAAATTCCTAGATTCCACGGCAATCAGGTTGGGGGGGCACTTTCACATTACGTAAAATTTATGGGGGATCATTTCTAACAAACTGTGATGAGGTGGGGGAAGCAAAAATCCTTATGGACTAGTCAATGGAAAGCCTCACACACCGATACCCAGGGATTGCGGGACATAAACGGGAGATTTCAGCAGTTTTAGACTGTCACTTTTGCCATGGTATGAGGGGTTTTTCACAGTACTGGACCAGCGTTTAATCTAGCCCGCACGTTTGCATCATTGACACGGAATATTCCATTATGATGCAAACCTCATATATACGAGGGCGGATCAAAAAGTTTTGTCTCTGAACCTATATCTCCAACGTTTCACCTGAAATTTCAAGAAATACAGTTACATTCAATCAAAGTAGCTTCCCCGCGACTTCTATACATCGTTGCATCCTCATCTTCCACTTCTGAAAGCATTCTCAGTACTCTGAAGCAGGTATGGCCGTATCTCTGATTGCCCAGCTTTAGCAAGGTCTTGGATCCTTGAAAAAGGCTTCCCAGAAAAGGGCTGACTTGAGTTTTGGAAAGAGCCAGAAATAGTACGGAGCCAAGGCGGGTGAGTATGGTGGATGTTCCATCAAACGGATGCCATTGTCATAAAGGTACGTCTGCGTGATGCGAGCTTTGTGAGGAGCTGCATTGTCGTGATGTATCTGGATTCGAGACCGACGTCGAGACCGTGCCGTTGACTGAATATGCAGAAGAACTTTTGGCAAAACTGAAGTTGTATAATATGCGGCAGTGATTGTAGCTTTGTCGAGCATTATGTTGACAACAACAGGCCCCTGAGTATTGAAGAAAATGGTGATCATTCTCTTTCTTGAACGGAAACCTGTTTTCAGCACCTCCGGGCTTGGTTCATCTTCGGCCAGCCACACCATGTTAGAACGTTTATCTTTCATACTGAAGAAGGAAATCCAACACTCGTCACCCGTAACAGCATCTGAAAACCTCTTAGGAACATTTGGTTCAAATTCTTGCAACCAATTGCGGCAGATTGCCACCCTTTGTTCTTTTTGTTCTGTTGTCAACTGGTGAGGGACCCATCTTGCGCACCTCTTGGACCGACCAAGCTGCTCATGGACGATAGCATGTGCACTTCGGTGGCTAAGAATCTGAGTGTTATAGTTGGGTCTTCTACTATTAATGCTTCGGGCTCTCTCCACAGAACCGTCGGTCACAGACGTTCGTGGCCTCCCAGCACGTGCTTCATATTCAATGCTCTCTCTGCCATCACCAAAATGCTGAATCCATTTGGCAACTGAGCGAAAAGAAGGTGAAAGGTCCCCATAAAGCGTCACAAGCTCTTCATGGACAGGCCTTGCTCGGAAATCTAATTTATAACGAGTGTAAGGTAGAAACGAATATACTCTCTTGAATGCTCCATGTCACAACCAAATCAGCATGTAAATAAAAGGACATGGAAAATTCCACACGGCCTTTATATGAGCACTAAATTTGCTTAACAATTAGCTGTTAATAAGGTCTAAAGATTAAGATAAGAATGAAGAATCATTCTTGCATGGAGGAGCTAGGACTTCTCTTGGTGACAGAACTTCCTGATCCGCCCTCGTACAAGTACTTGCAAAGTAGCAGTCAATATTAAAAATAAAAAAGGTTTGCTTACTAGCCTGAAATAAGCACGTGAAATGACTGTCATTTCAGACTACGTGCTCAGGAGTAACATTTGTGTCAGGTCTTTCATGCAGTTAGAGAGAGACAGGAGTGTACATTTCAACACGCTGCATACGAACATGAAAAGTATGAAGATGGGCTGGATAAGAAAGGTAAAGCTCAAGATATATGGTTTGGATGATAATTATCAGTTGTTCAAAGTTTCAATATCATAGTTTTACCCAGACCATTATTGAAATGACCCAATTTAAAATGCCATGTGGGAGTCACATATGACCCACTTTGACAAATTTCTAGAATGAACACTGCTGGATACAAGTCTCAGCCAGCAGGGACCATTAGCAGGGTTCCACAGGGATTCACCTTTGATGCAATCTTGTACAGGATCAGAAGCACATAATCTTACTTCTGACAGGAAATAACTAGGACATTATTCTCCATGGGCATATAAGCTGGAGGGATCACGAAACATAATCCACGTTTGGAACGCCAAATCCAAGCTAACTCAAGCTAATTTACTTTCCAAATTTGGCTTTGTGAGAAATGGACAGCACTGCTGTTGATTTTAAAAGTGATAGTTTGATGTACGAAACTGCTCTGCATAGCAATGAATTTGCTTCATTTAGAAGGTAGTCCTGCTCTAATACCCAGTTATTCCCTGGGCCTGCACCGGCCTTCCCCTGACTAGTGCAATATGGGGGATTCCATTTACAAGTTATACATAAAAAACTCCTTCTAAGGGATGCCAAAATCTTTATGAAGCATTCCATTACAAGTTAAAAATAAACTCTTCCTTTTAAGGGATGCCAAAATACTTATTGAAGGATTCTGTTTACAAGCTAAAAATAAATACCTCCATCAGCTGCAGGATGCCATGTCCTTCTGAGGGATTCGACTCATTCCATATAGAGATTCAAAAAAACACCTCAGAGGGATTCCACTAAGGTTTATGCTTCTTAAGCACTCATTATGTTGAAAGATTTCATTTTAAGAAACTGAGGAGTTTAAAATCATTGCATATACTTTTTCCTGAGCCCTGCACTTTCAAACTACACTCTAACACATTATACCGAATAGTCTACTTGAATGTAGTAGTTTATAATAGTAACTGTAAGTAACATCATTCATGCCAGAACAATAAACAGTGGATCTTCTATGTTACTTACTTTTGAAATAATGTCTCAGGTAAAAGGCATATCCTTCTGCA